CTATATTATTTGTTTTATTGATAGCGAGTATACATAAAAAAAATGAAAATATATCACTATTGTAAAGTATCTTTTTCCATTTGCTTTTTGATATAAAAAAGGTAATGATAAGGTTCATTATAACTAAACAAATAAATTACTATCTCGATTTGATTCATAAATGGACGAAGGTTAACCAGTGAACGAAAGAAAACGAGAGAAAGTTGAAAATGGGAAGACCACGAATTACAAAAAACGGGAAAACAACGAACACGACAGAAAACGGGAAGAAAAAAAAAAAAGAAAAAAAGAGAAAAGACAACAAACAAAAGATATATTCAAAGAAGTTCACTAAAGGTGTTGTTCACAAACAATAGGTTTCTGATGATGGCAGCCGATATCGTGCCATTTAATGCCATCGTTGTAGAAATTGTTCAGAATAGCGAGACACCGCTCGTCGTTATTTTCACGGTTGTCAGGCTGCCTTTGGCCGTCGCTGTGAAGGGAAGGGGGGACTTAATTAATTGCATGGAACGCGTTTGTAGATAGTAATATTACTGTGATATTGTTGTTGTTGTTATCATTATCATTATTCTCATTGTCATTATTATTGTATTATTATTATTATTATTATCATTATTATCATTATCATTATTATTGTCGTCATTATTATTATCATTATCATTATTGTTGTCGTCATTATTATTATCATTATCATTAGCGTTATTATGATGATGGCGATGATGATTATTTTTATAATAATAATAAAAATAACAGCAACAAGAACGATAAAAAACAATAGTACTAATGATGATAATGATGATAATAATATAATGATAATAATAATAGTTATTATCATCATCATTCATTTTGGTAGAATGATATTCATGTTAATGATAATAAGATGCATGGTGATAATGATGATGCTATTAGTACTAATGATGATGATGTCACTAACACTAATGGTAATGATAATAACAAGGGTGATGATAGTGTCATTATGATATTAATGATAAAGATATCGAGAGAGAGATAATGATACTACTGTTAATACTGCTATTACTACTACTATTATTACCTCTACCGAAGCCGTTATGTTGTTGATCGTGTTGGCTAGTTTGTTTGTTCGCTGGTTAGCAGGAGAACTCAAAAAGTTATGAATAGATTCTTAAAAAGTTATTGTCAGAGGTGTATCCTAACCTAACTTAGATTTCATATAATTTTAATGATGATCTAGGATTATTTTGAAGGATTACATGAGTTACTAGCCTAACTTAGATTAAATTTTAGTGATCTAGGATTATTTTGAAGGATTACATGAGTTACTCCTATTACTAAGGAGATTATATTTGCGGACGTCACCTGTGCACATGAGAAAAGTTATTTTAATGTAATTCTTTTGGTGTAAATATTCTTAGTGCATCTGTGACTCTGTTGCCTTGGCGGAGGTATGCGCTCTCGGACTACTTTTTGTTACTACTGTTACTACTGCTTCTGCTACTAATACTAAAAATAGTAGGAGGAGTATTGATGACGATGATGATAGTAACAGTGATAGGAAGTAAATAGTGAGGATGATAATAATGGTAATAATAGTAATAAAGATAATGGTAACAATAATGATGAAAACAATGGTAATGGTGATTTTAGTAATGTACATGTTTACATATATAATAATGTTAGTAACAATGATGATGATAGTGGTAATAAGTGAAATAATAATGATCATAGTAATTATGGTAATAATGATAATAAAATAATGATAATAAGGTAACAACAATGATAGTAATAATAATGGGAATAAAACAGCATTAGCTATGACATCATAACCATTAACATCATCATTTTCACTACGATCACAATAAAATTATCCTCATCATTGTTATCTCCATTAGACCATTATCCACTCCATTGCAATGAACACCAGCCTATAACATCGCTAATGAAGAAAATGTTTATACTCACAATCCTGTATGGCTCCAGTTGTTGTAGTTGAGTGGCACTGTGCCATAGGTTCTGGAGGGCCACAGGAACGCGCCGTTGATGTCTTTCGTGCCAGCTGTCCAGATCCAGGCCAAGTTATCTGTAGAAAGGAGAATTGCTTAATAAATTGATAATGTAGAAGAGAAGGATATTAAAAGAAGAAAATTGTTATAAGTTTTTTTTTTTTTTTTTTTTTTTTTTTTTTTTTAAGATAACGTATGTTGGAGAAATTATGAGGTTTTCTGTAAAAGAGAAAATTGATAATAGAAGATGGTAAGGATATTAAAAGAAGAAAATCGTAATAGAACGGTTTAATTAGATATAAAGATAACGTATGTTAGAGAAATTATCAAGTTATCTATAAAAGGGAGAATTGAGTAATGAATGAATTGATAATGTAGAAGATGGTTAGGATATTAAAAGAACATTGTTATAAAAGTTTTTTTTTTTAAAGATGACATGAATTTTATGATAAAGGATTTTTTTAAGACAACATATGTTAGAGAAATTATGAGGTTATCTGAAGAAGGTCCAATTG